TGGTTGATCGCCGTGGCGGACAGGTCGCCGTGGGGGTGTGTAATTATCGTATGTTTTTGTCATGGTTTACTTTTTTTTTTTTTCCCTGTTATCTATTTCGGGTCTTAAGAAATCGATGTTCGCGTCTGTAACAACGAACATGTGACACCTATCATTGGTATTGATGAGGGCCCTTGTTCAGGAGGTTGTCGCTTCTTGTGTTCGTTGCTTTTCATGATGTCTGGACGATGTTGTCGTTTCTTGTGTCTCTCGTTATTGATGATGTCTACAGCGTTCCCTTTTCATTTGCATTCACGATTGTCAGGGCTGCACCGACATGGAAAGTGGTGACGGATGTATGATTCAACAAATGCTTCATCACAGATTGATGAATTTTTACACAACCCATTCCAAATGCGAGCACAGATGAAGGCAATAAAAATGACACACACACAGCGTCTCTCTCTTCAACAAAATACTTGTCATTTGTCACGAACACAGAGAACAACCTCCACGACATCAAAAAAAAAATTACAAGATATATTATCTTCATGCTGTCACTCCCGGCAAAAGCACAACACGTCACAGTTACGATGTAACAGGCCTTGAAGGCAACTTCGATCCCGACCAGCCTAAAAAAAAAAAAAAAAAAAACACACGGAAATGGCCTCCGTCACTCACACCCGTCACTGACGGTGGCACCGTACTGCAAATCGTCGCAAAGACCTAAAACCACACGCGCATCACGAAACCCCCGCCGCCGACGAGATGGACTGTGCCATCGCCATAAACCCCACCCGACGAAAACCTCCTAAGTGCGGCGCAATGCGAAAGTACAGGAAACTAAAGTGCGCCAGACAAGGCACCACATGCACGCCAACGCCCACCAACACAGGTAGCGGTCGATTGACTCTCTCTCTCTCTCTCTCTCTCTCTCTCTCTCTCTCTCTCTCTCTCTCTCTCTCTCTCTCTCTCTGCATGCCGCCCGCTCCCGACGACTGTTCGTCTTTACTGCGTACCCATTCGCTCCGCCAGTGCACCCCGCAGGATCAGTGCATCCCCCGTCGACGACTCCATACACATCTGCCTCAACGGGCGGTGCATCCCAAGGTCCACCCTGCGGCGAACACCGTCCGGCTCGACCTCCCACAGCAGATTGTCGTCGAATGGGATGCCCGCGTTGATGAGTATGTTGTGCAGAATGCAGACGGCGACGAATTGTTGCGGCAACGTCTCCATGTTCGCCTTGTGGGAGCGAAGGAACAACCTCCACATCCCCTTCAATCTGTGGAAAGCCCTCTCGACTGCTTCCCTCGCCGTCTTCTGCTTGTTGTCAAACCGAATCTCCGATGGGTGCTGTGATACACTGCCGTAGGGGACGACTACCCATTCCGAGGGGGGGTAACCGTTGTTGCCCAGTAGATAGCCGTTCGTTCGCACACCGAAAGGTGGCATGACAGGTGGCCCAGTGAAAAGTTCCCCTGCCTCCGCACGTGCCCACAAACTGGACAGGTGGACGATCCTCACGTCGTGGCAGCTCCCCGGGTATCCGACGAACATATCCAGCACGCGCAAGTTCAGATCGACGACCACCTGAGCCTGGACGGAGAAACGACGTTTTCTGTCGTAGTAGTCCTCTCCGCGGCAATTGCCTGGCTTGTCGATGAAGATGTGGGTACAATCGATGCAGCCATGGCAGTTGGGGAAACCCTTGTCAGCGAAAGCGCGCAGGACGACCGCCTTTTGCAGCCCTGTTGGCCACGTCGATATCTTGTCGTGGTACGCACTCAGCAACGCCGAAGTAACATCCCGCACAACCACCAACCCAGACTTTCTGCCAATGTCGAAGCTGCACGTCCCGCTCTCGTACGTCTCCCTCGACGCCCATCTGTACAAAGCGAACGCTACGATGAGGTCAGGCTGGAGGGGCTCCCTATAAAACGTGACACGCCGTTGAAGGAAGGGAGACAAAGTTTTCGCTATCTCCCGGAACACCCGTGGCGACATGCGCAGCTTGTCCTTGAAGTAGTCTTCCGTCGCGTCGTCGCATTACCGCAGATCCTCCCACACCCCCCCTGTTCGACGCTTCATCCACCACCTCGGCGTCGCTCTGGGAAACGCTCCACACCCCATGGCATAGCACACCTGAAGGACAGCGTCGCAAATGGCACCACTGCCCTCTTCGTCCACATGAATGGACTGCAGCGTCTTCTTCCGGCGTGCGCGAATGGCTGCTCTCATCCTCCCCTCCGTCATCTGCAGTTGACACCTGATGAGTATCATGTTCACGGCCGCTGCCATAGCCGCCCTCTCCGCCTTGCTGTGTGTGTCATGAACCGCGTCCCCGTCCACGTCCATCGCTCGTCCTCGCGAGCTGAAGAAGGCTCAACTTCGGTGGGAACAACAGCGATGGCGTGTCGTGAAAACCCGCCTGTACGGCGTGCACGTCGACGGCGAAGGTGCGCGTAGCAAAGCACACAACGTTGGCGATCGTGTGACGCCGGCCGTGCTGCTTCGGACGTATTCATGGACGTTCAGCGTGCCAGCAGACGCCACGAAGCCGCCACCCCGTACCGAAACAGTCTCGCTGACGAACGTTGTTGCCGTCAGCCGTAAGGGACACACGCGCCGTCGTCATTCGCTTACTGGGATTCAAATTTCGAAATTCGAATCCGGGACTGCGCGCCGTTTTCATAGCCTTTTTTTTTTCGCCGCGTAAATTCAAATTTGCGCCGCCCACAGCTCCTGGACCAAGAGCGACGCCACGGACACAACCCGCTGGACCAACCTCGCCAACCCCCCTTGCGTCTGCGTGTCGAAATATGCAACTGGCCGCAGGAGCACCCAAGGAATCGTCCTCGGGGAACATTTCCGAGGATGAGTGGAACGAAGGCAGGAATTTCCTCGGGCGACTCCAAGGAATCGTCCTCGGGCCCCGAGGATGCCCCGAGGAGTATGGAACGAGCCCCATAACCTGAAATCTTCACCCTTCAATCATACCCAAACCAAGATCTCGGGAGTCGGAACCATAGCCAATAGTGGAGGGGGAAATGAGTCAAGAAAGTCTACCATTGAACGCATGGGAATGGATGGGTCTACCAATGTCCAGTCCTGAAATACTCTCCTATAATCTCTCCTTATTTTTTTCATTGCCCCCTCTTGTAGCCCCTTCTTATATCACTTTTCCCATTCCCCCCCCCTGGTTTCCTCCAAGCCAGCAAGTACTGAATTTTTTAATGTGTTTATAGATTTCATCTCATGAAGACAAGTGTTGCATTTTTTCTTTCGCTTGTTCCCATTTGGTTGTAATTTCTGTTTGGACATACAATTTAATAGTTTCGGTGAATTCAGGTCCATCTAAGCGTGCTCCCTCCATTTCGTAAGTGTATCTCCTCAACCAAATGACCCATATGACTACTCTTCTCCCCATGGTGAAGAGGTTTTGTGTAAAGTCATCATATGGCTCACCAATCCATGATTCCAAAAAAATCGTCTTCCAATTCCATGGCCATCAAGTCTGTGGCCCTAGCTGCTTCCAAACTCTATCCCACCACCTCCATAACCATATAACTCCAAAGCATTGCAGGAAGATATGCTCAATAGTTTCAGGGATCAACCTACTGGGAAGGCGGTGCAATTATTTTTTGCTTCAAGGAAGATCTATATATCAGTCAATCATTAGTGGGAAGACATTTGTGTTCAATCTGCCATTGAAGAGATGCCATCTTCACCGGTTTGGATTTCATTAAGTTAAAACCACTTGATTGATCTTACATTTTCTCTGCTAAGATTGAGATGTTTCATCCATCTGTCTGATCCATTGTCCTTTAGATTAATTTTCACTCTTAACATTTCATAGGTAGATTTTATTATAAAAGTATGTAGGACACGATCATAATTTTTGTCAAGTTTCTTTTGCTTACGGGGAGAGCTCGAAATCCAATTGGCATGGTCTAATACTAAGCTAGAGATGGGAGTATCAGGTTTAAAGGCCAATCATTGATACTTCTTTCTTAATACTCTAATTCTGAAAATTTAACTAGCTTGGACCAATTGGATCTGACCCTGACCTTTAGGGTGGAGAGTGTAATCTTGGTAAAAATCATAGAGTTCAAGGAGGATGTTTCCATTCTGAAATTTGTCTAGGATGTTTTCAATTACTTGGGGATGATCCTTAATGGTCACCCAGTCATTAATTTTCAGTTTAGGTCTCTTATCAAGAATCCGAATCCAGTCTAAGCGGATTAGCTCAATTATTTTATCCAATGTTTCTTGTGTGTGGTGACAATAACGAAGATAGCTCTTTAGTGTTGCAGGATCAATCCAATCATTAGATTCACTATTTCAAATATCTTTTATTCTCATAATCTTTTTTTTCCCCCATTCATTCCAAAGTGAGTCCATACAGTGAAGGACACACCCTTGAGAGTTTCAATCCATCTATTCTTAAAAAGGGGTTGTTGGCATACTTCCTCCCACCTTTCTGGGGGATCTTGGGAATTAATTATACCTGGTGGGTTACAACTTACAAATTACAACCCACCAGAGAATTAATCACTTGATTGCATCTAAGTTGTAAGTTGTAACCCACCAGGGATTTAATTATACCTGAACGAGGTGGCGACGACTACAACTACGACAGTACAGGAGTTGGCGACCGTGCTTCTAGTGAGACGAGCAATTCATCAATTGATTATGCTTGCTAGCGAGATAGGACGAGTGGCATGAGCAGTTCGTTAAGGGTGGGTCCGCAAGAACAGGAGAACGGACAGACACACAAACGTGATACACGTGTGAGGTTAGGCATTTCATTACGCATCGTGAAAATGCCAAGTGTTTGAAGCACCTTTCGTTCTTGCTCCATATTTGTTGCCGATAGCACGAAGTGGTCCTTCCCCTTTCCCAAAATTAGATCCCTGGAGGAGTTTGTTTCAGACAATGGCTTGATAACAGAAGATGACATAATTTTTTTTTTTTTTTCTAAACTGACAATAATAATGCACCTGTGAGGGCATATCGCTTACGAAAAGCACAAAAACATTGAAAAAACTGACATTTTGCTAAAATTGACATTTTTAAATGATTTTTTACGATTTTCACAAAATTTGGCGTCTAAGAAAAAAGTTTGAAAAACTGTCCTTAAATCACAACTGGGAGCGTCGCGCCACTCCGCTATCGATATGAGTCAGTTCGTGAGTTTGAGGCGTTTCGTCGACGCAGCTCCCTGCAGGGAAATATTGAGGAGTTGATGTGGGCAACGGGGGTTTCGGCGGCATGCGATAGCACGAGGTTCCATTGGTGTTCGTTTGGCGCGGCCATCAACGGGATGCTTCGGCTGAGGGTTCTTCCAGCCTTGATAACCTAGGCTGAAGAGGTATCTTGCTCCGTGCTTCGTTTATGTGGTGTCGCGGGTTGATACGCTAGAGGAAGGGGAGGTTGTCGTGGTGACTAGGATAGTCTTCATGAGATCTTGGGCATGGTAGTGGCCCTGCTCTTTTGCCCCTGCGCGAATCTAGTGGAGGTTGGTTGGGCGGCACGGGTAGAAAGTAAGGAGCGTCTTCTCATGAGGAGTGGGAGGAGGAGGCTTGTTATAAGTTGGAGCGTCATAAAGAGATGGCGGTTTCATGCGTTCATTTAAGTTGGTTCATCGGTTTTAAAGACACGGAAACAGGTAGTGGCGCAATAATGACAGCGGCGATGGAGCAGGAAATTTTTTTACGAAAATATATGGCGCTCTTCGCATCGACTGCCTTTTCCAATTGAGTTCGCTGATTTTAATTTTGCATCTTCTAATTTCCTATATTCTTGCTCTAATCTAGTGCTTACATAGTTATAAACATGGCTACGCCAAGCCCGGACCCGTACATTTCTGGACATGGAACCGGACCCGTGTCCGGTAGTTTTCAGACGTCCAGAATTTCGGACATGGGGCATCCGGACGGTCCAGGATGTTTGGACAGGTCCGAAAATATTTGGACAGGTCCGGAAATGTCCGGACCATTAAAAACAATAAAAATAAAAAAATCTGAAAAAAAAGTATGCTATGTAGAATAACAATGCAAACCATTTTTGCCTCAGAGTCATATGTGAATTCCTAACCAAACTTGAGTTACAAGTCAAAAACTATAAAAAAAACTTTAAAAACGACTTTAAAGACTAATAAAATGTAATGAATTATTAATAATTAAAAAATTGGGGTTATCTAATAAATTATTATACAGAGAGAGCATGTCCGGACCCCCAAAAAAAGCATAAACGGACCTGAAAAAACCCCAAAACAATTTTGGGGGCTTGGCTCCTCAATGGGGAAGGGTCCTGGACCCTTTTTTTTTTTTCCCCCCTCGAATTTCGGCAGATCCGGACCTTCCAGATCGGACGTCTGGAGTCCGGACTGAATCCAGACCATCTGGACGGTGGTCGGGACGTCCGGATCATAGCCATGGTTATAAACTTAGCTTCTTAAATTTCCAAAAATAAACTTACAGTTTGTCTTTTATTTTCTGATCAGTCAAATTCTCATTTACATGTACACACATACACACATGTCCTTGAATTTCGACTATAATTTCTAAGCGTCCTAAATAAAGTATTCTCATCTACATGTTCACACATACACACAAACATATACCATCCAGTCTGAATCGCAAGCATAGGGATCTGTTCTATAACTACGTACCCTTGAATTTCGACTATAATTTCTACATGTCTCAAGTAAAGTTCTATCAGGATTTTCTAATCTTGGAACTCGAAAACTTCAGAATCTCTTTGTTAATTAGTTTGTCGCTTTTTTTAAATTGTTGATGCGTGCACATTGTGGGAAGTGCCAAAAGTTCATTGGTGCAAGGGGCAAGGGAATAATTGTAATAGTCTTACTGCTGCTTTGCGCTTTCTTTAGTGGGTTGTTCTTAAAGATGTAGGATGTTATCGGGGGTTATTGCATATTTTTGAAGAGGCCCTGTGTTTCCAAATTGCGATTGACATTTTGGTAAGTGTGTCATTAATAATTGTTGTCGGCTGGATCGGATCGTTCCCGGAGGGTTGAACGGTAAGAAGTGGGTGGGGGGAGCTCTATCTTGCAAGGGCATCACAAGGTGGGGGGTGA